CATGTGAAGAGACGCACACATAAAGTGGATAATATAATATAACACACACGCAGCAGCCTTGGGCCAAAACCTCCTGACGGTTGACGTCTATAATGAGCGGTTTAAATGTATTTCTAGTCATAAGCTGTTTCTATTGTGGAGCCAGAGAGGAGCAGCAGGCAGCACATTCACGAACATTAGAGTCACGTGTAATCGGATTACTGTAATCCAAGTAAGAGAACAAGTACATAAAAAACAAAACTTACAATTAATGAAAAGCGTCTGTGCTTTGAGTGCATCAGCAGGTTTATTTAACACGTCTTCACTCAGTAGAAAAAGCTTTCTGTAATTCATCACTGACATCTGCTGATTTGAAAGATTCTGATGATGTTCTTTTAACCCTTTAAGACCTACCATAGAACCAAGTCCGCCAGAGCTTATATTATATTTTTACATGCTGTAGAGCCATTTCTGGGAGCATTTCAAGTTGATATACATCAATACAACCATTGGAGCCTAAATGTTAATAATATGTATGCATTAAGTGCATAGTAATTACATAAATTGCAAAAAAGTGCAATAAACTACAAAAAAATTGATAATCGTTTTAGTTTTTTTTAACATATATTTCTAGTTAGAGAAATTTAAGAGGCTTATCCCTCAAAACTGTAAATACAAAAAAGTTGCACAAACTAGTTTCCCACCACAGGAAATTTATTTTGAGTGTCTTCATAGTTTTATTTTTGAAATGCACCAATTTTTATACACTGCAGGAAAAACGAAAATAAATATTATACTGCAAATTTGCAAAAAAGCAGCATCAAAATAAACAATTTCCAGCAGTGCAATATGAGTCCTCAGCATCCCAGAAACGACACAGAAAGGCATAAAGTCAAAGATTACTTTTAAAAACACCAGTATAGGCTCATAAGGCCCTGATGGTAAAAAACGACATTTCTTTGAAAATGATGTCACTTCCGGTTTAGGGCAGGTAATGGTGGACATGCAATAGTTCGCGCTGACGTCTATTCCAATGTAGGAAGTGTTACGAACAGCTGATCGGATTGGCAAAGCGTGTTTCTGGAATATTATGTTTTTGTTGCTGCAAGTGCTTTTTATGCAGTTTTTACAAAGCTATATGTGGAAGGAAACCGTGACCTAGGACAAGCTGATGGCATCAGATGTAAGTACAACTCAACTTCATATGCAAAAAAAATTATTGCGCTAGCTCACGTGGTTGCAGAGCTACCGGGATTTAAAAATAGTTACACAAAACAGAGCGTGCCCGCTCCGACCGGCTCTAAAGGGTTAAAGAAGACAAGTGAACAAAGACCATCGATAGCAGCTTTGTCTTTTGTTTTTGTCCACTTTATTAATTTAATGACAACAAAAAGTGAAGCTGACGTGGAAATAACTTAAAGCTGCATTCTCCTAGTGGCCAACAGGGGGCGATTCCTCTGGCTGCAGAAAGGCTTCCTGTGATGGTTCTCTTCTTATTTGTCCTTCTGTATTTTGTTGTAGTCTGCTCTCTGTGTTCTGGATTATTTCGTGTTTCTGTATGAGCTCTTCATATTTGTTAGCCTTATGTTCTGATTTTGAGCTTTTAGCTTTCCTGACAGCGTTGGAGTTTTTCCTTTTTTTAAATCCTGTAGTCCTGGGATACTCAATTAAACTTAAGGAGGCCCAGTTAGAGAAACGTCCTCAAACAAAGGTCCAGAATATCATAAAGTTTGCCATGCACTACAATTCAGTGCAAAATATTTTGAAGTATTTTATCCGATCAACAACTGGCTGTCGAGTAAAAGAAAGAAAGCATTTCAAGAATGTTTATTATGAATTTTCATAATGACGTGGAGCGTACTCTAAAAATAATTAAATATTAATAAAAAGTTATTTTCTTGTCAGTTAAATATTGTTTGCAAACAAAAGGAAAACAGCTTTTGAAAGTGTCTTTGAACAAACTGCGTGATTTAAAATAATTTCCTCTAAGCTGCATTTGTGCGACTGGATTCTTCAGACTTCTGTGTCCGGTCTCCTCGCCGAGCTTCCTGTGTTAACAGCCGTTCTGAATCAGTCATTTAACTGTTTCAGGTCTGTGATGATAATTCTCCAACTTATGCTCCTTATTAGAATCAGAATTAGAATAACCCAGGGTTTGCTCATCATCTGCTGCCTCGGTCCGGCACTGCTGGTGGTTTCTAGATACCAAGATGGTGACAGAGAAAACACTCGGGGGTTCAACTTACAGTTTATGGGCCAAAATTAAATATTTTGCAGCCCAAAATAAGCAAACGACTGAATTCTTATCTTAAACCCAACAAGATGGCAGCCCAAACACAAAAGCTTCAAAAGGCAGAAATCTGAAACCGATGGTGACGTCACAGAGGCGTAATCCATCTTTTATATACAGTCTATGCGTCTGAAACCCTCTGAATAGGCAATAAATTGAAAATCCACAACAATGGAGTGTTTAGTTGTTTGTTCAGCAGGTAGCTGCCAGAGTGAAAGACATTTCATTCATTCATCGGCAAAGCCAAGCGTGTCGCATTGTTCGTCTTCACTAGGCAGGAGGAATGGCATGTCCACTACTAACGAGGACCAACACAACATTTTTTGTTCCCTGCAGTCTGCCCTTTTGTTTGTTTCAATCCAACAAATGCAGACATAAGATATATTTTATATTTACACAAGGCTGAGAGAGAGACGGAGAGAGGGAAACAAGCGAGAAGGCAGCAGAGATGGATGAAGGCAGAAGTGCAGACTCTTACATTTAGTCAGATGAGCAGCTCCAAGTGGAGAAACATCTTCTGCAGCACAAAATAATGACATCACACATGCAGAAAACAGCTGAGCGAGCAGGTCAGGAAACACACGGCGCG